CGAGGCTCCTCAGGCACCACGGACGCTGCTGCATTGTGCTCGAGGAGACTCCGTGAACAGTCTCTACGCATACGCTATCACGAGTTATCGCTCGGTCGCAACGCAGCGTTCCTCGTCGGTCTCCCTCAAAGCCAGGCGAAAGCGTTTTAGCCAATCAGAGCGGCAAGGCTTTAGATTTGTGGCCAATCACCAGTGTTCTTGCCGCAGTTCTGGAACCGATCATCGCCGCCACCCAAGGTATGTGGTACGTGGCAAGCCGTGCGCAGGCCTTAGGCGAAGCGCTCACGCGACGTCGTGGTAGGTATGGCGTAGCCTATCCATGCGTGACGAACCACCGAGTCGGCCCTTGGGCGGAGCCCTGGCCAATTTCTCGATGGCCTCTCTCGCACGTCGGCCAGTGCCGCGTCATCTTCGGAGCGCGCGCCATCTCTCGGCGCTGATTCCGATGGCTCGAGCTCGAGCACCTTGCACATAAGGTTTCCTGCGTGTACACTGCACGGAGCCGAGACTGCTGGCAGCGCCACGCCAACATATTGCATGGAGGTTAGAAATTGCGGCTGCCGAGCTCTTGTCCATAGTGAGTGGCGCGCCATCTCGAAGCATTCAAAGTATCACGAGGTCGCACATTCGATACCATTACGTTTGCAAACAAAATTACAAAGACTCGGCACATTGATAGAGGACGCTTTGGAGAGCTCGAAATGCAAGGTCGCGTCGACATGCGAGATGTACAGCGGTACCGAGACGCGATCCAAGATGCACGCCAAACTAAGATCGTAGCACCATCTACGAGGCGCGACGCACTCCAAACTAAGATCGTAGTACCATCTTATAGGCGCCACGCTAGGACGCCGACGCCACTTGTCGACAACATCACATTTGAAATGGAATCGCCCAAAGTTGGCACGATGATAGAAGACACTTTGAGGTGTAGAGCAGACCACGCTACATTGCCGCTGCAGTCGTACAGCGCGCGCAATGCTCCACCACAGATACAAAGCGCTCTTAAAACGTTAAAAAAGCAAATGACCTCATCGGTACGTCTTTTACACTTGTAGCGACGATCGATCGCCCTTCCACTGGATCGAGAATGTGATTCACGGCACTATTCGTACGAATACCACGTCCAGGAGCCATCATATCCTGCGCAGCGATTGGGACGAGAGGCTTTGAGCTTACAGTGCTCGGATTGCATGTACATTGCTTCCGCACTCTCTCGCGGTGATTTTATGTCGTCTAATATCATTTGCATCAAACGTGTGCCAGGCTATAATGCGTCCTCATATACTAGAGATGATGTATTCACAAGTTTACTCGATTTCCATGACGTGGCACTCGGAGAAGGTCCCATTCCGAGCAAATGTTGAGGCGTGTAAAAACAAGTGTAAAACAAGCACGACAAAGGCGAAACGCAGTGCTTTTACAAGAGAATCGGAGAAACCTGGAGCGCTGTTCATTCTGCAATTTGCGATGGAGGGCCTCGGTCGCACGGCCCGCGTCGCACGGTAGGGCGGTCGCAAACAGGCGGTACCGACTGTGGAAACTCGTGTAGCCGAGGTCTTTCTTCCGTCACGCATTCCTGTCATTTAGGACTTATGCTCACCAGGCAAGCGCTTGCAAAGATCGCTGCGTCCTTATGTAGCATGCGAATGCTTCTCGTTGAGGACCGATGGCACACCAAGCACGATTGGTGGTACCAGTAACGTTTTGAGCAGTGTCGGAACCATCAAGCGTCGGCCGCTAGTGCCTTGACGCAGGTGTACAGTGTACACAGGCGAGGCCGCGGCTGCTGGCGTCGATGCAGCGCTGGTCGTAGCCATCGGCGCCGCAGCGGTAGAAATGCCATTTTGTTTATGTTGGGCACCTACGTGCTGTAATTTACATAGTCGATGCGCCGAGATAAACGCCAATTGCGACAACCTCAAGCGCATGTGCGCGAACGATGACCCGTGCTTGTTGCGTCATATCCGGACACATTCCGGATATCAGAACCAAGTGCAAATCGAAAATGGTCGACACGACGAAGAGCCACGCCGCCGCCGCAGCAGCAGAAGGAGCCGCGCCAGCGCCACGTCGCGTTCGAAGCGCGCGCGTCATGTCGCGACATCGAGCCCGATGCTTCCGAGCTTGAGTACCTCACGCTTGACGTCCTGCTGCTTGCACACGGCAGTCGGCACCGAGACCGGCGACAACATACCGCCCGTCACAAAACTCTCGCCACTTCGCATCAGATCCGTTCTCTGCTCGAGCTACCGGCGACCGGATCTTCCAGCCCTTGGCGGTCACCTACAGTGGTCGCGCGCGCCCATGGTCCACGTATCTTGGGCAGACCTCGCTCCAATGCGTTG